ACACAGGGAGCCAGACTCACATTTCCTTTCCAAAAGAGAGATCTTGGTACAGGCCCAGCAAAAGAGAACGTCTGCAGGACCAAAATGAAAATAGGCATCCACTGGATTTTTTTTCCTTCTTCTTTTCAAACTGGCTATAAACGTCTAATAAGACACGTGGCTGGAAAATTCCACTGGCTCCTGGGCTTAGCCTTGCCCTGCCCTGCCTCATCGACTCCCCAGACAGGTCCCAAAGCTGCCGATGCCTCATCTTTTCCAAGTGGGGAGGAGCCTTTGTCCAGGGCTCAGACTTTGATCCTCAGCTCCTCCATCCACGTTCACCTCCTTGGTGAGCTCATCCAGCCTGTGGCTCTAAGTCCCAGCTACATGCTGACAACTCCCAATCTGCTATTTCCAGTCCAGACCACTCTCACAAACTCCGGATTCTGACAGCCACCTCCGCATGGACATCTCCACTGGGCCATCCGGTAGACGTCGGAAGCTGAGTGTGCCCCAGGTGAAGATCCTGACCTCCCCACAAACAAACCTCCCACAGCCCTACCCTCATTCCATCCTTCCACTGGTTCAGGTCAACACTTTGAAGTCATCACCAACTCTTCTCTCTCACCCCCAGGGCATCAGAAAATACGGTGAGCTCTGGTTCAAAACATGCCCCCAATCCTACCACTTGTCACCACGGCCGGCTGCTTCCACCCTGGCTTGAGCAACTACCCGCTCTCACCCATCAGAGCTCCCCACTCTGACCCTTGCCCCCCCCCGCCCATAGCCTTTTCCCAACACAGGAGCCAGAGGGATCCTTTAAAAACCTAAATCAGACCATGGCATTGCTCTGCTCAAAACCCTCCAGTGGCTCCCCTGCTTCACTCAAAGTCAGAGTTCTCTAATGGCACAAGGTCTTGGATGGTTGTCACCTCTCCTAGACCCCTCTGCCCTGGCTCCCTCCACTCCAGCCATGGACACCAGCTCCCAGTGAGTCCTGAGCATTGATCACCTGTCAGGTTCAGTGTTGTGAGGATTCAGAGAGGATGAGCTATGTCTGTGCCACCCAGAGACTTCCAGTTAGTGGAGGAGAAAGGCACACAAATAGAGCCCTACTGGCTACATTCATCAGGCGTCTGTGACATGCCGGACACTGCCCTGAGTGGTGTGAACTCATTCAATCTCTCCTCAACATGTCCACCACCATCAGGTACAACTACGGCCCCACTTACAGATGAGATATGGGGCACAGAGGGGTCAAGCACCTGCCCACGGTCTCCCTGGCAGCTGAGGTGGCACCAGCATTGCCTCAAGGTCTGTCTCAGGGGCCTGCACCCCCACCCCGATGCGCCATTGTGCCAGCACCGCGCAGTAATGAGGCTCAGGTGTGTGAGGCTCAGGTGTGTGTCGAGGCCTGGAGCAGAGGGCACGAGGGGAGAGAGGGCGGGTGGGGAACGCTTCTGAGAGCAGCGTGCAGGGGGATGAGCTGGCACTCACCAGGCAGAGGGGGCCCGGGAGGCATTTCGAGTAGTGAGAGGGAGGGAGTCGGGGCTGAGAGACTTTAACCAGCCTGGCCAGTCAAAGCCTGGGTGGGCAGAGGCCTGCTGGTGGAAGGTCTAGGAGGGCAGCCTCAGAACTTGGACTTTTCTCTGGATGTCAGTGTTTCCCAACTCTGGACATACACACAGTACAGTCCTGAGAGATGTGAAAACTGCCAATGTCTGCTACAAACAGTGGCCAATCCAGTGGGAGGTAATGAACACCCCTAGTGCCAAACTGTAGTCTCTAAGTACCATTGCCCAGTAAAAGGAACCAGGGCTTCTTGGAGAAATGACAAACTCTAGGTGGAGGGCAGGAAACAAACAAGATGAGCCCGGAACACTGCATCACACCAGACAGCAAGGAGGCTGCCAATGACCACTGGGGTCCTCTCAAGGGCCCAAAAGCCAACCTGAAGGGCTCCACAGACCAACAATGAAACCATGGAGCACCAATGCATCAAAATGCCCCATGTTTATCATTGGAGGATGCTAGTGAACCAATTTGGTACTTTGAAAACATAAACATGGGGAAAGAATCAAGCAATTCCTATATGAACTTTACCATTGGGTAACCAAACAGTAATTGAAAGGAAGTGTTTCCCAGTTAGCAAATGAAGAAGGAATGACAGAATGTCGCCATGTCACAACCCCTAATTAATCAATAGATTTGGGTATTGAATATCTATGGCTGCTGCCATCTCAAAAAGACAGACACCAAATATTATACGTCCCCTAGCAGGGACTTCCCTGATGGCGCAGTGGTTAGGAATCAGCAGGGACTTCCCTGGCGGCACAGTGGTTAGGAATCTATCTTCCAATGCAGGGGACACGGGTTGGATCCCTGGTCTGGGAACTAGGATCCTACATGCGGCGGGGCAACTAAGCCCGCGTGCCGCAACTGGAGAGAAGCCAGCGCACCGCAACGAGGAGCCCACACGCCACAATGAAGGATCCTGTGTGCCGCAGCTAAGACCTGACACAGCCAAAAATAAAATAAATATTTTTTTAAAAAGTCCCCTAGCAGAAGAGCCTGAAACCACTTATGAAGTCAGTCCCCTACCACCACCAGATTGAAACTAAATCTGACCAAGTTTCTAGATTCAATGAGCAATTTACAAGAAATACAGAGGAACTTATTAAACGACACATGGGGGTGAGAACACAACACTCAGACTGTGGGACACTCTTGGAGAGGGTTATAAACTGTTAAGACATGCATTTACAGAAAGCATGAGAATATCAGAAATTTGAACGCTGATGATATTTGATTATTAACACTGATTATGTGATGAGAGTAATAAATTATTTTTTTTAGCTGTGATAATGGTATTGTGGTTTTTTGGTTGGAGAGCCGTCATCATTTAGATATACATGCTGACATGTTCACAGATACAATGACATAAGTGAGGTCAGCTGCAAAATGTGCCGGAGGGGAGGATGTGGGTGAAACAAGGTTGGCCTTGAACCCATAACTGTTGGAGCAGGGTGCATGGGGGGTTCATTACGCTATTCTGTAGACTTTTACTTCTTATAGTTCGAAATTTTCCATAATAAAACGTTATGAAAATACCAGGCCCCATCCCCAGAGATTGAAATTAATGAGTCTGGGCTTCAGCTCAGGCATTGGTATCCTTTTTAAGGCTCCCCAGGTGTTTCTACTGCTCAGCTGAGGTTGAGATCTATGGTAATCACTTGTATGCGTCATGCGAGAGCCTGCGTGGAGACCAGGAGAGAGGTTGTAGAGGGAAGGGAACTGGGCTAGGAGGAGTCAGGAGCCAGGTACATGGTCCTTGATCCGGTTGGGTGAGGAATGACGAGAGGGAGGGGTCAAGAACAATGCAAAGATTTCGGGGGTGGGTGATGGAGGTGTGCTGGTCACTGGAATAGGGAACATGTCAGGGCTGGTAGCCGTGGGGAGCTGGGGGAGGGTGCTGAGTTTGTTAAGGATGCGTTGACTTCAAGGGGCCCATGTGACTTCCGGTGGAGAAGTTCAGGGGACAGTTTGGCCAGTCTAGAGATCCACCTTGATCCACCTTGAGACCCTGAAGCAGACACAGAAGGTTGGGCCCCATAGGGCTGTCCCCCACACCAAGCTGGAGGTCAGGATGGCTGCAGCCAATGATGGCATTAGGGCCTCTAGGAAACAACAGCACCTTGGCCCCCAGCCTTGGAAAGGGGGGCCCCAAATGACCCCATTCCTTTCACGACTGACCGTGATTCATCTTTCACCTCCCCGCTCCTTCTCTACCTTCCTTGGACAGACACCCAAAGGGCAGTAGGCCAGGCTGAGGTGTCCTGTCCTCCCAAGCAAGTGTTGAGGAACTCCTGCGTGTTCCTACGTCCTGTCCTAAAAGCCCACACAGATCAATCAGCACTTGTTTTTTGGGGTTTTTTTAAATTGAAGTATAGGCGATTTACGTTTCAGGCATATAGCAAAATGATTCAGTTATATATATGCACACATATATATTCTTTTTCAGATTCTTTTCCATTATAGGTTATTACAAGATATTAAATATAGTTCCCTGTGCTATACAGTAGGTCCTTGTTGTTTATCTGTTTTATATAGAGTACTGTGTATCTGTTAATCCCAAATTCCCAATTTATCCCTTCCCCTCCCTTTCCCCTTCGGTAACCTTAAGTTTGTTTTCTATGTCTGCAAGTCTATTTTTGTTTTCTAAATAAGTTCATTTGTATTATTTTTTTACATTCCACATATAAGTGATATCATATGATATTTATCTTTCTCTGACCTACTTCACTTAGTATGATCATCTCTAGGTCCATCCATGTTGCTGCAAATGGCATGATTTCATTCTTTTTTATGAGTGAGTAATATAGCATTTCTTAAACAAATGAACGACCAGTACATCTGAAGGAAGTCCCCGTGGTGTCAGTCACAGCTGTGTATGCCAGCAGCCAGCGCAGCACAGCCCGCAGCTGTCAGATTGCCTTGAAATGGCCAACACACGTTCCTCCCACAAACGTTTACTGAATGCCTGTATGGGCTGGGCACAATGCCAGGCAGAGGTGAACTGGAAGCCCAGGGCCCTGGCCTCAGGGAGCTTGCATTCTAGTGGGGAAGCAGACAGTAAACAAGCACACAAAGAAACACAAGCTTTGGAATTTTAGAAAACGGGTTCTCAGCTGGAAGAAGGGGCCTGGGAATCCAACACCTTGGGGTGTTGGGAAAACCACCCAACTTCCTAGGTACTACTTCACAATAACCCAGGCTCCCAGAATCAGAGAACTGACAGAACCTCGTGTTAAAGCAGCGGCAACCGAGGCCCAGAGTGGGAGGCGGCCCCGCACGGTCATGCAGCAGGTGGTGACCTGGAGACGAGTCTGCACCGGCAGTCTCTTAAGCAACAAGTTTGTTCTGTATCCACGTAAGCCACGTGGTCTATCTTTTCCTTTGGACAAAAACGATCGCTGATCACAAAGGACCAAAGGGCTCTTCCCCCCAGCGAAGGGACTTACCACTGAGTCCAGGAACTGAATGTAAGACTCCAGCTCAGGTCTGGTTTCGCAGAACTGCCGGAAAAGCAGCCTCCCAATTGGCTGCTTGTCACATAAACTGCAGTAATCTCTCTCTAGAGGTAAGAAAAGAAGAATATGGTGAGACCCCAGAAAGGGCCAGACAGAGCCACCAACCCACACCTGGGTTCTTGCCTCAGACAGATGGAGCAAGGTGATCGGCAAACTCCCAGGACCCTTTATCCACCTCCAGGCTCTGCAGACTCAGAAGAGTCAAGGTCAGTGTAGAAAGAGGAGCCAGTTATGACCTTGCCTCTACTCCCCAGCCCACTCCCTTTCCAGTGTCCTGATTTCTGTACGGAGATGCTAGCAGCTCTGGGGACTAAGGCTCTGCCCCTGACTGCCTGATCCGCATGTCACATTCTGTGGTTACAGGGACTGGATAAGGGTGGTGGGCATGTAACCCAAGCCAGTAAAATCAGCATGAACCACAGACGTCGCCTGGGCACGCTAAGCCAAGGTGCTCCCTCTCCCTCTGGTACTGGGGTGCATGGGTGTGAGGCCAGGGTCTGCTGCAGTGTTCTTGACACCGCACAACAAGCTGCTGGGAGGATAAGGTTGACATACAGAGGAAGTCAGAGCTGGGAAAATGATGAGTAGGTGCTCTGGTGAAGTTATGAACCTCTGGATCACACTATGCCTGCAGCCCAAACCACATCTGAAAGGCTTATTTATGAGCATTATTTAGGGCAATTTGAAAAAACTTTAAAATGACTTGTAATTCAAATATTCTAATGAATACAGTAAACAAAATTTCGTATTTGCCCAATTGGAGCAAAGCCCAGTCTTAGAATGCTTCAAACTATGAAAACCCTGTATTTTCCAGCTGAGGAGCTAGAGGCACAGAGACAGGATGTGACCAGACCTCAGCCACTCAGTAGCCAAGAGAGTTCTGAAGAGGAAATAACAGTGCAAGACTCAAAGCACAGAGGCCTAGAGACCAGGGTTCTAGCTAAGGACTTGCTGTGTGACTTCAAGCAACACACTTGCCCTCTCTGGGCCTTACTCTTCCTCTCGATAATGAAGATGCATGTTGGAGGTAAGATGGGAGGGTCCCTTCTGCTTCTTCCTGCAATGACTCTGCAAGAGGCTTTCTCTGGGCAGAAAGATGCTCAAAGGTCTGCCTGAGACTTGTTGCCTCAGACCCTCCAGAGCACTGAAAATTCGCCCTTTGATTTTGTGGCTGCACCAGGAAAACTCAGGTGACTTCGTGGGGAAACCAGGAAGAGGGTGAGGCAGACCTCAGTTAGAAGAGCTACCTGGGAGGATGGAATGACTGTATCCTTGCCAACTGTAGAGGAGGAGCCAGGAACCGCCCCCTGGAGATATGGAAAACAACAAGGAGACAGGAACAGAACCATCACGCCCACTCATTGTCATACCCAAAGAGTTTATCCACAGAGGTACAGCCATTACTTGTAGGGAAGGTGGTGGCTGTGAGCAAGGGCTCTGGAGCTAAACTCAGATTCAGATCCCAGCCTCACTACTCACTGCCTGTGTGCCCCAGGGCAACTGACCTGACACATTATCCCTCAGTTTCCTCATCTGTAAACTGGGAACAGTCATCGTACTATCTCTTAGGAGCAGTGAGAGCCTGGCACAAAGGAATTGCTTAATAAACACCATCTGTTATCATCGTGGAGGTGGGGATTTTGGTCTGTTCCATCTCCCTTCCTTTGGGGAACCTCCTCTCTGTGAGTCTGCAAAATACCATCATAGGGTCCTAAGGGAGCAACTCCTCCCAAGCCCCAGGGATGGGCACGTGACTCAGTCCTGGCCAATCAGAGCCCTCTGTTTCATGGCCACAATGATCGGTTCAGGGCAGGTGACCCAGGGGGCCTTGGAGTCCTTCCAGGGTTTTTGGTAGAACTTCCAGAAAAGACACTTGTTCCTCTCTGGGATGACAAGGCCTTAGGACTGGTCAGCCAAAAGTTGCCACAACTGTCTTTCCCACCAGCAAGAGCCCATGGAGAATGAAGCCAGTGCAAGGGAAGGACAGCTGAGTGAGGAAGAGAAGCCTGGAGCTGTGAATATCACAGGAGTCCCCGAAAGGCAGCCTACTGAGGCCCACCCAGTGCCTGCACCTTTAGCCATCTGTCTTTGCTTAAGCCAGTCGGTGTTGGGTTTTTGTCTCTTGCAACTGAAAGAACAACTGACTGGGGCTGGAGAGTTTTATAGCCCATTTCTCCTTTCATGGGTAAACTGCTTGAGGGCAAGAATGGTTTTTGTAGGGATCCACCAGTGGTAAGCACACCTTGTATCAGAAGGCGCTCACGAATTTCTCATTCTCTCTTGCGAGGATACTTCGGTCAAGTGGATGAGGCACCTTGCAAGTCTCCCCTTGGCCCGCTCCTCAACTGGTTTGGGGGCTGAAACTAGCCTTGAACTATTGCCTTAACTCAGCTTACCTTTCCACGCACAGATTGTTCGGGAATAGCCACTCCAACAAACATTTAACTCACCTCATTGTGTGCCAGGATTGGTGGGGGTCGGGAGTGGGGGGAATGGGACATGGTCCCAGCCCTCAGCGATCTTGGATTCTGTTGGAAAGGGGGTGTGTGGGGAGGTGAGCAGACAAGATCCCAAGTGACAGTAATAAAATGTCAAGTTATCATCAGCCACAGGAGGGAGTCTGGGTTGGAGGGAGCCAGGAGGGTGACAGGTCTGGAGTCCGCACCTGTTAGCACGATGCCCTACAGACACAGCCTGCGTTCTCACCACCTCCCACTCAGCCTGATCCCCCAAGGAGAGGAAAACAAACTTCCCTGTCCTTCCCCAGTCAGCTGAGCTTCCCCAGCACAAACACAGAACAAAGGAAATTACCTGTGTGAAACTCCCGTTTTATTCAATTATGGCAGAGAGCGCCACATTGCTTATGTGATTTGAGCAAGGGGCCCTCCCCCATTTCCAAAAGCAATTATGAGATTTCATGTACCATATTGTGATTCCTCAAGGGTTCATCTGACAGGATTTTTTCTCTCCATATGGCGTGTGCTGTCAGTATGGAAACAAAGCCGTTATAAACTCACAGCACAGTAAACACCATGTGATTCCAACACAAGCTGTCAGCACCTCAGTTCCGTGCCTCTCCCAGCTGTACAGAGGATCCCAGGCAAGAAAGCCATGCGTTGGAAGCCCAGGAAGGAAGAAGAGGATCAGTAATCATCTGTTTGGATGTTTTCTCAGCTTTAAATAAAGATAAATGGGCTTATCCTCTGAGGAAGCACCACCACCACTAAAATCAAAGTGCAAAGTCTGCAATTCCTTTAGAAATGGAGAACGAGGCCACAGAAGAAAGAATGTGAATTTGGGATTTGATCAAGGTGACAGGAAAAGGCGCAGATTCAAAGTTCTTAATGCGTCAAGGGCATGTCCGAGGGGCAGGTCCCTTCGGGAAAGTCAGAGGACACTGAAATTGAAAGCACAAGTTGCTCTGTAATATATCTTCAGAGCAGATCCTTTCTAGTCGGTTTCTAAGGAAGCCAGCCATGCTGTAGAAATACAGCTTGGAAGTGTCCTGCCCACAGCTCGTCTCCCAAGGGTGTCCTGTTTGGGTTAGTGGGGAGGAGTACCCAACACAGAGGGGCAGGGCTCTCCCTGTCTCTGAATCTGTCTCTCAGGCTGGGAGGCCCCTGGGATGCTGTGTACACAGGCACACATGCACGGTCTACACACAAACATACACACCAGCTCTTCTGAATGTGAAAATCCTGCTTCTGGCCACGTCCTTCATTGATCTTTCCTTCCAAGCCAGAAAGAGTCTGTCGTTATGTAAGATATGAGGGGCATCAGGCTCCCTGCCCCCAAAGTATTCACCAATCATCAAATCATTCTAGCCTTATTCTTTTGGATCCTTCATTCATTCAACAAACTCTGTTCCAAGGTCTCTTGCTTTTTGATACTAGAAGGTTCCTTCAATTTTCAGACTCTCTTATTGAATTGAACACCTGGCGGCGGGGGGGGGGGGGGGGGGGTTGTGGATGAGTAGGTGGGAGGAGACACACCTCATACCCATCGGCAGGTTAATGATCCAGAAACAGGCTTGGAGTTAACAGCTGGCGGTCAGCTGAGACCAAGAATAGGGGTGTGGTCTTTGTGATGTGACATTTGACCTTGGCTGCAGTAACATTGGTCTGGTGGACACAAAACTGAAGCATGTCCAGAGGAAGGTGATGGAAAAGGGGGTCCAGAAAGCCCATTATAAGCTCTGAACTTATAGTGCCCTGGATCAAGGGGCAGGCTGCCCCAGGGAGGGCTAGGGCCCACCAGCACCCAGGAGGATGGGGGGCAGATGTGCTGGAGAAGCAGCTGGGCTCAGACAGGAAAGGGCTGGACTCCAAGGCCAAGGAGACTGGAATGGATTCACTGTCCCACTGGGGCATCAATGATTTTAGAGCACAAATGATTCAAGTGCAGTGCATGGGAAGGTGGACAAAAATGGGGTGGGAGTCATGAGCCTGAGACATTTACGGAGGAGGTCACTGGTTTGGGAGCCATCCCCACCTGTGGTTCAAGCCCTGGCCTTTGGGCAGGGAGGGCGCAGCCCCTGTGGTTGTGATCCTGCTTTGGTGAGAAGCCGAACTGAATTGGCTTTAAGGAAACCACATGTCGTTTGCTTCTTCGAGGGCTTGACGCCTCCCAAGCACGCCCACGGCTGGCCCAGGAAGACAGGACTGCCACTCCTTCCCGCAGCACACCGAACTCCTGCCACGCCTCAGACAGAACGAACGTTCCCTTAGCAAGTTCACAGACACTGGCTGAGCCCCTTCTGGGCACTTCATTCCAGGCCCTGTCGCAGGGGGGTGGGAGGGGCACCCCTTAAAGGAGACAGGCTCCGCAGGCTTTGTCTTTGTCCCAGCAGTTTGCTTACCAGCCCAGGCAGGAGGGAGGCACATTCACAGACAGGGCTGGGCAGGGCAGCCACAAACAAAGCTGCACACGCAGGGCTGCCAGAAATGCCCCAGCTGCAGGGGCACACACACTGCTCTCCTGGTTTGGATGGGTTTCAGGGGAGGTGCCCAGGGGAGGTGCCCAGGGGAGGTGCCCAGGGGAGGGCTTGCTGGTGCATGGGAATGGGAGTGATGGGCTCGCCAAAGGCAATGCAAATTGTCAGCAGGGGAGAGGCTGAGTGCTGGGGAAGGAGGAGAAGGTCAAAGCCAGAGAAATAGGGCCAGAGGCTGGAGAGAGGGGCAGGGAGAAGCCACAGGGCAGGGACAAGCCTGGGACAAGTGTGTTAGGGCAAGAATTCAGGGCTAGATCTGCAACCACTGCAGGAAGGCTTCAAGAACGGCTTCAAGTATATGCAGGTTCCTCAAAAAATTAATACGATCCAGCAATTCCACTGCTGGGTATTTATCCAAAAGAATTAAAATCAGTATTTCAAAGAGGTATTAGTACTCCCATGTTCACTGCGACACTATTCATAACAGCCAAGATGTGGCAACAAAGGTAAATGTCCATCGACCAATGAATGGATTTTTAAAATGTGGTATATACATACAGTGGAGTACTATTCAGTCCTAAAAAGGAAGGAAACCATGTCACGTGACAACATGCGTTAGTCTTGATGACACTATGCTAATTGAAATAAGCCTGTCACAGAAGGGCAAATTCTGCATGACGCCACCTTTATGAGGTATCTAAAAGAGTCAAACTTGGACTTCCCTGGTAGCCTAGTGGTCAGGATTCCGGGTTTTCACTGCAGTGGCATGGGTTTAATCCCTGGTTGGGGAATATCCCGCAAACCGCGTGTTGTGGCCAAAAAAAAAAAAGAAAAAAATGTTTGAATAAAATAGTCAAACTCATAGAAACAGTAAAACAGTGGTTGCCAGGGATTGGGGGTGGGGGAAATTGGGAGCTACTGTCCAATGGATATAGAGTTTCAGTTATGCAAGTTGATTAAGTTCTAGACATCTGCTGTACAACACTGTGTCTGTAGTTAACAACACTGTATTGTGCACTTAAAAATTTATTAAGAGGGTAGATCGCATGTTAAATGTTCTTACCACAGTAATTAAAAAAAAGAGAATGGCTTATAAAACACAATGAAATACTGCCACTTGCAGCAACGTGGATGGACCTAGAGAATATTATACGTAGTGAAGTGAATCAGACAGAAAGACAAATACTGTATGATATCACTCATATGTGGACTCTAAAAAATAATACAAATGAATCTATATACAAAACAGAAACAGATTCACAGACACAGTGTAACAGGGAAGAGCTAAATCGGACTCCATGTTTGATCTGTTTGACTTTAACCTTTGCTTTCCATTGCTTTTGTTATTATAATCATACATAATGGCCTGCCTCAGGG